CTTTATGTAAAATCTCAATTAAATATTCAATAAAGATAGAGACATGGCCTCACCATTAATATTAAAAAAAAAAAAAATAAAAATAAAAGTAATCAAATAATATAGATTTGTTAAATAAAGAATTTTTTAATATTTTATGTATCATGCATTATATACAAATTAAAAATGTTTTATATCTTTTTAAAATTCTTTTGCATTGTAAAATCATTCAGATTTACAATTATTGTATTATTAAAATAAGTTATTTGAATAATGCTCTAGGTTATATATAGTATATATATATAAACTTTATTTAAAATTGTATACATCTTTTATTATAATCAATTATATAATTGTAAAATAGATCTGAATATTAATCTGTAGAAAGATTGTTTAAAATTATTTTAATAAATAATTAGTAGCCATCATCTAATTATTTATATCAGAATTTTAATAATCTAATTTTTTTTTTATTCTATAATATTTAATAGTATTAATTTATAATCTGAAAACCACAATATGTATTTATGCACTTCATAAATATATTGATCAAATTTACAGTTGCCAAATATTAAAGCTAACATTGATCTTATTAAAACTATTTGATCTAATTTAAAAAAAAAATTAAATATAGAATTAAGTAATATATTATCATATTAGTATCATTAACTAAATTTATAACAAAAAATAGTTATATTTACTATTTTTTTTAATTTCAAATACACAGTAGATAGAATCTGTATATAATGATAATTGAGATATACTATTATCTATATTTGTTAAGTGATTTTGTAATTTATTTATATTTGTGATTATATATTAGCATGTTAATAATATGTAATATATATAAAAGCAAAATAAGAAAAAAGAGAAGTATTCTAAAAATATGAATACAAATCACTCTAATTATATCAATATTCTTTAAAAATAATTATCTAATATATCTAGATGTTAGTTTAACTAAGAGATTTTTGTAATTAAAGATCAAACATTAGTTTAATCAGAATGACAAATATACTTTTATTTAAGATTAATTATATAATATTATTAGTATATTGCTTATTATTATTAAAGTATTATATAATAGTATTATATAACTATAGGATGTAACAAAATCTATCATAGATGTGAAAATATTAGTTTTCTAAATTTATTATTAAAAGTATAGTAACTTAGTAAAGTAGATAAGTTGTCAACTTTTCAAATAATAGATTGGATGTTTAAAATCTATCAATAATAAAAATTTGAATAATTATTTTTATAATACTTATATTATAACAATTATTTTCAATAATTAAATTAAGATATCTGTAATAATAGTTATATTAGAATAATTAACAAGTTATAAGATATTTATATAACTAGTTATACCAAAGAATGCAAATTAGTATCAAAAAGTGCAAACTCTAAATAGGTTCTTGTGACTATATAAATACATTGAATTAAGATACAAAAAGTCTATTTAAGAAGACCTAAGTAGAAAAGTAGTATGAATCTTTAATAGTACTATTATAAAGACTAGTTTTAGAAAACAGATATCAATATAAAAGAGCTAAACAAACAAGAATCTCTGAATAAGAAATGCTACCAACTAGGTTATCAGAATAGACTAAAAAAAAATATTAAATTGATATACTAATAAACTAATTGTAATCCTATTAGACTATCTAAATTGAAAGTCTAATAATAATATAGAGTATACTAAAGTAATTATTATATATATTAATTTTGTTATAATAATATTAAATCAATTGTAAAAATAGGTATAAAAGGTTTTAGAAGCTTTAAAAATAAAATAGTTCTAAGTTGAAATAATAACTTAAGCATGATTCAGTAATGTTAATACAGGTTGCAAATCTAAAAGATTTAAAATAAAACATTCAAATAAGGATGTTAGATATAGCAATTAGTAAAAAACTTTTAGATAAACTCTTTAAATAAATAATATAAAAAAATTATATATGTAACCAATTGTACACTCTTTCTGTAGTAGTTTACAAAATTACATTATCAAAAAAATCATTAATAAAAATTAAAAACCAAAAAGATATCTTAAAAAAAAAAAAATTTACTATTTTTTAAAATATTTTATTAATAATTTTAAACTTAATATAAATATACATTATATACAATCACATTTGCTATAATTACACTTAATATAATCAAACTTTGGTTATAATCACATTGTTATTAGTTTCAACTTATTATAAAATATAAAAAAATTATCTACTATAAAACAATTTTGTTATAATAATATCAAAAAGCATAATTATAACTGTATTTAGAGATTTTAAATATAGTAATTACTTATATTTTATAAAATCATTTTCAAGATAAGAACTCCAATTAATTTTATCTTTATATTCTTATTTGTAAATTTTACAACTTTACAACTTGCATATAGACGCGTAATAATGGTCAGGGGTATAATTTCGAATTATGGCCCCGACTAGCTTAATGCAGGCCGTGATCCGAAATAACGCCACTGGGCGTTATTTCGTGCTTATATGGTAATATTGTATATCATATCATAATCGCGTTACCTAAACGCGAACGTATTCTATATTACACTAAAGTACAAATATAGACACGCGTGCAGGCATACAAATTACATTGTTGACGCTTTTTTATAATATTTACTATAGTGCATCAAAAAAGTAATTTATATAATCTAATGTGTCAAAAACGCAAATAAGGATTTCTCCGCTCCGGACAATTAATAAAAAAAAAAGATTATGTCATGCATAAATCACATGATTTCTTTGTTAATCTTTCGAATAAAGAAATGTTTGGTGAAACTTTGTTTATAAGTGTTTTCATGCAAAGGAAGTAGCAACAAACAGAAAGAAAAAAAAACTGGCACAAGGTTTTATGTTTGTGTACATACTATTGACAACAGGAGATGTGTCAAAATGTTTGAATATTCAAAGCAGAATAAACCGATCAGCATGAACAAATGGGGAATTTTATGGTGAGGAGAGAAGCAAGTTGGTGATGAGAGGCGAAATGTCGTGTTTATTATGCATTTGTAACTCTTTAATTGTTGATTCAAATATTTTTTTGCATCGGTTCAACGATAGTAAAAAAAAAAGAAATAATATTCATTATTTTCATGCAAAGTTACAAAATAAAAACCCTTTTTAAAGAAATTATTTCTGAGTTCATTTGATTTGCGGAGATTATAATGGCTCATGATTAATTAAGTTGCTGTCTGTCAAGGTTTATATATAATAAGATAGTCTCTGTTACATACATACGTACGTACGTAATAAATTTGATGGGTAAGTAAGCGATTGCTGAAGTTCGGCGGTATATGAACGCGGAGTGAGAAATAAAAGGTGGTGAGTGATTAATAAAATTGTATATTATTTTATAATTGAGAATATACAAAGTAGGTGAGACAGAGTGACTACTGTTATAAATAAAGTTAACGCACATACGTCTATTGTGTGTCTGCTGTATATCAACCGTTGAATGAACTTCCAACTTGAACACAAATAAAAATTTTTTCCTTTTCTTTTCTTTATGATATTTGTCTCAGGCCAGCAATCCGGCTAGCCCGTACCCTACCCATTCATTACAAGGAAAAGAAATTTATCGTTGGCCTCTTCTAAGCTGTTTCTTGATTTTCTTTTTTGTATTTTTTTTCTTTAGTCCAGTCTGGCCAACCTGGTATCAAGCTAAAACAAAGCTTTTCCTATCTTCCTTTGAATTCCCTTTTTTTTTCTGTAAATATTTTTTTTTACTTTGTATAATTTTTTTTTATAATTTCGGAAGTCAGAGTGCTGTTTATTGATTTTGTATAGACAGAAAAGTCGTGTTCTTTTTATTTGTTCGTGTTTATAAATATTAAAGGTAAATAACCATTATATCGAAAAAAAACGGTTAGTTATTAAATATTCAAAGTGTTATTTTCACGTTACAACTCTACAGTATATCATGTCTCGAGAGGAGTTGACTGAAGTTCAATCACAACAGACTGCGTCGACATCAACAACTAAGGAGTCGCGAGAAAATATACCCACAAATACAACTGTCCCCAAAAAGACCGCGTCTTCAACTCATTCAAGTTTCCAGGGACAACAATCACAAAACGAACCTAGCTCGACAGCTGATTCGAGCCAGGAGATAAAAGCGAAACGTCTGCGTGAGAAAATGGATAAAGACATTTCAATTCCTATAAATGCTTATCAAGGCGTGTCAGAGAAAGACATTACTACGACTAATAGTGTTCCTGGTTCTGATGACATCCTATTGGGTGGCTCAAAGAATATCGTTGGTAGCAGTAATGTTAATAATGGTGTTGCTGAATATGATCAAGAAAATGGGATTCGGAAGCAGAGTGTCAACGGTAATTCTCACAGGTTGTTGAAACCCAATCTCGTTCTACTATATATAATTCATCCCTATTTAGTTATTTAATTAACATGACCACAACAAAACATCAGTATTCCCGCGTCCTCATCCTCCGCTTCTGCCGCTGGCTCCAATACGATCGCCGTCCCGAACAATACTAACAATTCCTGTTCTAATGGTGCCGGGCCAGCTTACGACGAAATGCCTCAGATGTATCAAAATTTGAATGCCAACACTCCCTTCATAACAGTTTCACCACAATACTTTACTCCTACTTTTTTTTCTAACAATGGACAATATTACTATGATCCTCAGTACAGATTTGGTCGTCCTCCACAAATACCACCACCGTCTGCTCAGCCTTTTGTCAGATCGAATATATATCCTTATCACCCAATATCCGTTATACCCCCTATTCATCCTTTTCATAACCCTCCTTTAGTCCCACCTCCATCCATTCCTGTGAGATATTTTAGCCCAACTAGTACTGCGGGTGGTGATTCTGGTTTTTCTTCCCGAAGAAGCTCTTTGGATCAGGTCAGAACTCCTGATTTAGGTCCACAACACACTCCAAGAATGAATCAACAGAAGAAACCCAAACAGCTGGATAAGGCGCTTTGGGTCGGAAATTTACCGGATTCTACTACTCATGAAGAATTGGTAGAACTTTTCACAGATGAAAACATGGAGGTTATTATTATTATTATTATTATTATTATTATTATTATTATTATTATTATTATTATTATTATTATTATTATTATTAT